TCACTGACTCCAGTTGGCACAGGCCTGACTGACAGCGATGGTTTCAGACCCTGCTTCTCAGCTCTGAGACACTCGGCACCGAGTGAGGCCAGTGTCAGTCTCTCACCTTTGCTTCCTCCAGAACCCCTCAGCCTTTCTTCCACTTCCAGGTCAGAACTGTTCTCCTTCCTAAATTCCATTCTTCCCTGAATCCCTACCAATGTGGCTCCCAGACTTATCCCTTCCTTCTCTCTCATCTCATCCTCTCCTTAGACACAGTAATTATATTAGATGTCTTATGAGAGAACAACCTAAAATTTTCAGTGGCTTAGCACAACAAAGGCTTCCATCTCACTTTCACAATGTCTGATGAGGGTTGGTGGTCCTTCTCCGTCTTGAAGCTATGACCTCTGGCACAGGTGACAGAGGGTGATGGAGAAGGCATACAGGCCATCACCAGCCTCCACCCAAAGTTACACATGTCAGTCCACTGGCCAGAAATAATCACACGGCTCCGTCTATTTGCAAAGAAGGATGGGAAACCTCTTTGGTGAACACCAACCATCTCATCTACCTCCTTTGCCCATACACACACATTTCCTTGGACCTGAGAAAATGTTGCCTGGTTCTCTTGGACCCTCAGGTTCTTTTCAGTGAGAAGCTCTCTAAATGAGTGTGTGCTCCTCATCTATGCATTTCTTTATCAGCCAATCTGTTTTTAACCCCTGTAGTATGAGGTCCCCCTGCCCCTTGTCTGATTATAACCCACTCTGGGAGACCACCGGTCCTTCTTTCTCATAGACCCCACTTCTTGGGGCCATTGCAAGCCTAGAACTCACCGGGCTTCCTTTCCTGGTGAGTTTCTCCCCTGCCTCAGCAGATGTCATCACCCAGCTCTTTACCTGGTATCCCTCACACCCCTCTGTCCTTCCTGGTTCTTACCTGTAGACGATTGCCCAGACTCAACCATTGGCCCTCTGTTTCTTTGGTTGTACCTTCTTTGCACTGAATAACTCATGAGTGTGATTATCACCTCTGTGCTGCCCCCTCCAGGAAAGAATATGGACTTGAAGTCAGGCAGACCAGCTTTGGACAAGCTACGTGATTCTCTTGAGCTTTGGTTTCATCTGTAAAAATGTAATAATAAAACATACCTCCGAGTGTTCTAGGAAAGAGTGAATAAATAAATAGTAAAATACAATAGATGCTCATTTCTTTTCTTCATCACTTCCATTGGGCATTCCACCTGAATTTTATTCATGAAAGTGTATCACTCACTCATTCATTCATTCATTCTTACTTCAACATATCAAGCATCTCCTACCTGCCAGATACAGTGCTAAGCCCTGAAGACAGAGACAGGAGTCAGGCAAAGCCCCAAGTGCATATCCCCAGGGGGTAGACTAGGAACTCCAAGGCAGAATGTTCTAAGGAAGGTTTAATTCTTTTCTATGCAAAACTAAGACAAATTTAGATTTATTAATATTTCCTGTTTGTATGGACAGGAATTCTTTTCTTTGTCTGAAAGTAAGTCACAGATCACATGCGGTATATAGTGGCCCTCAAGGGTTGATGGACAGCTACATGAGGAAGGGTTGACAGTGTGTCTCTCACCCATGGAGGCAATTGCAGCCCACAGCAGCATATCTTGATTCTAGGTGCCCATTTGGTGCACTTATGGATTGTATCATGTATTTTAAACAAGTTGGACAGGTTGGCTTAAAATATTTCCTGAAGTAAAACTACGAATTGAAGATAATCGTAGTAATTAGGGGATACCTTCTATCTTTTTTTAAAGAGAGAGAGAGAGAGAGAGAGGATTTTTTTAATATTTATTTTTTAGTTTTAGGCAGACACAACATCTTTGTTTGTATGTGGTGCTGAGGATCGAACCCGGGCTGCACGCATGCCAGGCGAGCACGCTACCACTTGAGCCACATCCCCAGCCCGATATCTTCTAATTTACCCAAACACGGACACACCTAGGGAAAAGGGGGCACTATTCATCATGATGTCAGGAAACAGGTGTGAACTGGAATGTGCTAATGAGACCCTGGAGGAAAATAATGGCATTATAGTCTCTATAATGTAGCTATATTACTTTTATAATAAAAAATTATAAATACAAACAAATAAAATACTTCTTTAATTCAATTGAATTGAATTGCGTCCATCCTACTAATAATACAAGCACAAGCAACCAGTAAGAGTAGCCGGGCTGACCCTTCCAGCCCAGGAATACGCTCTTCATCAGCTACACTCCAAGCAACAAGCAATCATGATATAATGTCTTATAAAGAATACACCCAGAATATTTGAAAAGGATATTTGAAAGATGAATGTATATTCTTGGTCACTTACAAAAAAGTTCCCTGCTCTTCAGAATATTAGCATGAGCTGATCAAACTAAGCCAAGGACATGGCAAATATTTTAAAATATCGTCATTTTGAATATAATATTTCTTTGTTTTAATTTCTAATTTTTACAAACAGCTGATGATCTGTGTAATATGTCAGCATGGGAGCACAAGCACAATTTAATGATAACTCGTGACAGTAAATCATGGAGTATATGCTGAAACAAATTTTGCTGGCAGAGGAATATGAAGAAAAATGTTTGAAAACCATTGACCTAGAGAGTACCATTGGAACACCTCGATGTAGTCTCAGGGTCCCCAGGGTCACTCTGGACACAGTAAGTTAAAAATGGAGCATGTCCTTTCTCCTCCCAAATGACTCAATTTTGACTGCTCAGTTTTCGTCACTGATTCTCCCAGATTTCCAAGAGATTCTGAAATGAGATTTCCAATTTCCTTCCAAGAGACCTGACTCTGCCTTCTCTAAGATTTCCCAGTTATTCTTCCCTCTGCTTCTTCCCACACCTCTCTCCATCCTCTCCATTTCCTGCCATTGTGTTCCTCCAGGGTCTC